GCGCCTTTGTTCCCCACCAAACTGAGCTCTGTCGTCAGGGGGCTCAGCAGCTCTCCTTCCCTTTGTCCTCCAGCCTTCCCGCTTTCTGAGCAGAGCTGTTAACTTATGACCTCCCAGACGCTAAGTCGCGCTTGCTGTCAGAACACAGTCCGTCAGGCCCCTCCGCTTTTTGCAAGCCAGAGTCGGGGGCTCTGCTTGGCCGGCGAGCCGCCCCTCCGCCCCGGCTCCCTCCCGCCAGTCCGTGGAGCGCGCACCGCCTCGCCGCCCTTCCTACCCTCTTCCGTGGGCCTCTGGTCTGCGCTTGGCTCCGGCGACTCCGTTCTGCTAATCCTCTGGTGGTTTTCTGGGTTATTTAGGCAGGTGTAGGTGGAATCTAAGTGATCAGCAGGACGCGCGGTGAGCCCAGCGTCCTCCTACGCCGCCATCTTCCCTCTCCCCTCGCAATGCTTTTGATATACCCCACAAATTTTGATATGATACATTTTCATTTTTATTGAGTTCAATATATTATTTGGTTTCCCTTGAGACTTCCTCTTTGACCCATGGAATATTTGGAAGAGTGTTGTTTAGTGCCCAAGCATTTGGAGATTTTCCTATTATCTTTCTGCTGTTGATATCTAGTTTGATTTCATTGTAGTTATAGAGCACACTCTGTACGGTTTCAATTTTTTTTTAATCTGTTGAGGTTTTCTTTTTATGGCCCAGGATGTGGTTTATTTGGGTATATGTTTTGTGGGCACTTGAAAAGAATGTGTATTCTGCTTTGGTTGAATGGATTTTTTTATAAATGTCAATTGGTTCCTGTTGGTTGATGTTATATTTGAGTTTTTCTGTATTCTTGTGGATTTTTGTCTAGCTGCTCTATCACTTACTGAGAGAGGGTTTTGAAATTACCAACTATACCTATGAACTTGTCAATTTCTCCTTTTAGTTCTATCAGTTTTTGCTTCACATAGTTTGTAACTGTTGTTAGGTGTATACACACTTAGAATTGATGTGTCTTTTGGTAGATAAACTCTTTTATCATTATATATTGTCCCTTGCATAATTTTCTCTGTTCTAAAGTTTACTTTATCTGGTCTTAAGAGCCACTCCTGATTTCCTTTCATTAATGTTTGCATGACATATATGTTTTTCACCCTTTTACTTTCAACATGTCAATACTGTGAATTTCTTATATACAGCATATAATTTATATATACATATATAGACAGATATAGATATATCGGTCTGTCAATCTATATTTTAATTGGTATATTTACACTATTTATATTTATTGTAATTATTTATTTTTTAGGGATAAGTGTGCCATTTTATTTTATTTTTCTATTTGTATTATCTATTTTCTTTTTCCTATCTTCCTGTTGGCCACTTGAACACTTTTAAGTATTCTGGTTTGATTTATCTCTAGTGTTTTGAGCTTATCTCTTTGTATAGCTTTTTAATGGCTGCTTTAGGTGTTACATTACACATACATCACTTACCACAGTCTATTGGCATCATCATGTTACCAACTCAAGTGAAGTGTGGAAATCTTACCTCCTTTGTATCCTTTTACCTTTCCCCATTTATAATATAGTTATAATTATCTTTAAAAATTCCCCTAAATTAAAGCACATCACACCAGACAATGTTTCAATCATCAAACATAACTTAGACTCAAAAAAGAGAAGAAAATCCTATTGTACTTACCCATATTTTTGCTTATCATGTTCTTACTTTCTGATGTTCCTAGGTTCCTTCTTTTATTGATTCCTTTCTGATATGAGAACTTCTTTTAGTCATTCTTTTAGGGTAGGTCTGCTGCCAACAAATTCTCTTAGTTTTCCATCATTTGAGAATGCCTTGACTTCTCCTTTATATTTGAAGGATATTTTTGCTGGCTATAGAACTCTGAATTGTAGACTTTTCTTCCTCAACATATTGGCCAACCAGATCCAATAATACATTAAAAAAATTATTCACCACGACCAAGTGGGATTTATACCTGGGATGCAGGGCTGGTTCAGTATCCACAAAACAATCAATGTGATTCATCACATCAATAAAAGAAAGGACAAGAACCACATGATCCTCTCAATAGATGCAAAGAAAGCATTTGACAAAATACAGCATCCTTTCTCGATAAAAACCCTTAAGAAAGTAGGGATAGAAGGATCATACCTTGAGATCATAAAAGCCATATATGAAAGGCCCCACGCCAATATCATCAATGGGGAAAAACTGAGAGGCTTCCCCCTAAAGTCAGGAACAAGATAGGGATGTCCACTCTTGCCACTGTTATTCAACATAGTAGAATGTTGGTAGACTTCTCTTTCAGCACTTGAAAATGTTGTGCCACTTCCTTTTGTCTTCCATACATTTTGTTGAGACACCTGCTGTCTGGTAGATTTGGACTGCAGTACGAACATAAGCACTGGACCAAAGGTCTCCCAAGTTTGAGGCTTCTGCTTCAACAAAGTAAATGAATGTTTATTTTGTGTTCTAGAAATGTATCATGAAATATAATGGAGCGTATGGTAAAAACTTTGCTGATATTTTTGACTCAAGTTTCAAAGAAAAGCTAGTATTTCTCCCTGTTTCATTAAAACCTGGAAAGATGTAAGTAGTGAGCAGGAAGTAACTTTTTGTGTCTGTGTGTTTTTTTTTTTTTTTTTAATCCAGCGTGGAGAGAAAACTTATGCCCTTGCCTCTATACATCTCCACATCATAAATGGAACCCAATGGCACCTTCAGCAGTAATGTCAGCAACATGGACTGTTCAATTGAAAACTTCAAAAGGGATTTTTACCCCATCGTGTACCTGATACTATTTGTCTGGGGAACCTTGGGAAATGGATTTTCCATATATGTTTTCCTGCAGCCTTATAAGAAGTCCACGTCTGTGAATGTTTTCATGCTAAACCTGGCCATTTCAGATTTTTTGTTCACAAGTACACTGCCCTTCAGAGTTGACTATTACATCAGAGGCTCCAATTGGATATTTGGGGACCTGAGCTGCAGGATTATGTCTTATTCCATGTATGTCAACATGTACAGCAGCATTTATTTCCTGACTGTGCTGAGCATTGTGCGTTTTCTGGCAACTGTTCATCCCTTCCGGTTCCTCCATGTGGCTAGTATCAGGAGTGCCTGGATTCTGTGTGTGGTCATATGGGTCCTTATCATGGCTTCCTCAGTAGTGCTTCTGAACAATGGCTCTGAGCAGAATGGCAATATCACATTATGCTTAGAGTTGAATATGAATAAAATTGTTAAACTGAAGACGATGAACTACATTGCCTTGGTGATAGGCTTCATGCTACCATTCTGCTTGCTCAGCATCTGTTATCTGCTAATCATTCGAGTCCTGTTAAAGGTAAAGGTCCCAGAATCTGGGCTGCGGGTTTCTCACAAGAAAGCACTTATCACCATCATCATTGCCTTGATCATCTTCCTTCTGTGTTTCCTGCCTTATCACATACTGAGAACCCTCCACCTGGTCATGTGGAAAGTGGATACATGCAAAGACAATCTTCATAAAGCTGTGGTCATCACACTGACCTTGGCAGCAGCCAATAGCTGCCTCAATCCTTTGCTCTATTATTTTGCTGGGGAAAATTTTAAGGACAGACTAAGGTCTGCACTCAGAAAAGATCACCCATGGAAGACAAAGTGCAGCATTCCTGTCTGCATGTGGTTGAAAGAGGAAACACAAGTTTAAGGGGTTATTAAATGAGGCCTGTTCTTGTATACTTGTGTCCACCTTCATTCACACATAGTCCCAGTCACATGACCATGTATTTACATTATTTCCAACAAAGATCAATTCCTAACATTTAATTGACCATGACTTCTGTTAATAAGTCCTACTTCAAACATTTTATTAGGTGTGTTTTCAGTGGTTGAGTCTAAATGAGAATGTAGCAGGCAAAATCTCTACTAGTCTTGCAACCTAAAATGTTAGACTGGGAAAAAATGCTGAGCACACTGGGTGCTTATTTTCTTCAGATTCTGTACCAGATCTCTGTTCTACCAGCCATTCTAAATTAACTTTAAGACAACTTCAACTTCCCCAGCTTCTCCAGCTCCTCTTCCATCTTCAGTCCCCTAAGATATAGCCAGGTTCCAGAGCGAAAGGAGGTTCCAGAGCAGATAAGAAAAGTATCCTAAGGAATCAATGAAAAGACTTTGTGAAGAAGGCTGCCCTTTAACAAGGCAGTCAGGGTCCCAAAAAAGAAAGGTGAGAGAAAAAGGGAGAGAAGGACTAGGGCAAGAAAGAGCTGGTTAGAAGTAGGGAGAAAGACAAATCTTATTTTGCACTGGGAGAGAGGCTCTAGCACACTGAAGGCAAGAAAGTTCTCTTTGTCTCTCTCGCCAGGGGACTAGAAAGGATAAGAAGACTAGGAGGAGGAACTGGGCCATTACCCTAGGGGGTGGAGGGATTTTGTGTGAAATAGCAGAATAGAGGAGGTCAATATTACTCTTAGGATTTGGGTTTGGACTGCACTGCAGTTCTCAGTCCTGCTCATTAATCCATTTGGATGGGATCCAGAATGGAGGAGGTTGCTTTAAGGGTTTGGTTGGGCACTGAGAGAGAGTGGGGTAGAGGGTAAGTTGTAAAGGTGGTTGTACCCCTGAAATTCTATTAATATCTTGGCAGAACATGCGTAGGGTGGCTTTCCTTTTGAGGGAGTATAGAAAAGAACTGGATAGTGGGAAGGGGTCCTTTCTGTCCACTGAAAAAAGCTAGGGAGACTACCAACTACTACCTCCCTGAACATTGTACCACCAACAATTGAATGCCTCTCCACGCTGGGCAGACTTGTGCCAGGCACTTGACATTCAGGAACCCCGTTTAACCCTCACACTAAAGCCATTCACTCTATGAATGAAGAAACGGAAGCTCAGAGAAATTAAGAAACTTGTTCAAGTTCTCACAGCTTGTAAGAGTTTAAAAAATCTCCATGCAGAAGGGTTGGCCAGGTGCTTACTTTACCGCTCTTCCTACAAATCTTCAGGCAAATTGGTTGAAAATCTGAATAAGAGTTCCCTCCCCCCACCAGGCACCTACCCCTCCTCACTGTCATGAGATTTTCTCTTTAGAGTTGTTGATCCCAGGCAGAGTAGAGTGTGGGAGGGAGGTAGTGTTCTAAAGTCAGGGAAGAAGTGAATGTTTTCATTGTAAACAAGAGTCCCAGAACCCTTCTCTTACTCCTCTGTCTGGATGCTGACAGAATATCCTGTCAAAACAATAGACTGGAGAATTCACTTATGGGGAAATGCAAGAAAAAGACTAACAGATACAGACTGTTGAGGATTCCCCAACATAAAAGCCAGCATCTGCCTTATTACCTACCTGACAGGGAAGCCCACACTGCAACTAATCTATTCAGAGAGCATCTAGTCAACCTGTTAGAGCCCCATTATTAATTATGAATAGTCAATGACCACTACACATGGGCAGGGGGGAAAGGTCCAAACATAAAAAATACCAACAAACAAATCAGGATAGAGACATTTTCAATATGAAATGTCTCAACACTTTTATTACCCAAGTACTTTTTATCAGAAACCTACTGTGAGGATGTGCTCCTCCAAAAAAGTGATTAAGCCAAGATAGAGGAAAACATGACATCTAAGACACAAGGAATCCAGTACAGGGGAAAGGTGAACAACACAGGATGTTGGTGGTAGCAGAAAAACAAGAAATTAGTTGATTTGAACAATCAATTTGGAGAGATTTATATTTTTCTTGAAGAAGTTGGGATGAACTAGTGAAAGTACATAGAAAAGTAAGCAAGGGAAAAGACACTGTGATCATTGAATGCTAGCAAAAAGAAACTGTTGTTTAAGAAAGGAAATATAATCATAGTACACTACATGGCTCAGCTGTGACTAATGTTTACACAATATAATGTAAATAACAAAATGCTGTGATATAACTTTTTTTGGGAAATGAGAGGAGAAGATATGTATGTGGGGGAGGGGTGTAAGAAATCTAGGTCCCCATCTTCAATCACAGAAAATGCACAATAACTAAAGCTAAAGAATGATAAAAGCTGTATAAAAATGTTATTTAGCAATAGGGGCTACAGCCCAGAAGAAACAATGAAAAGAATGGACAAGGTTGGCCTCTGGGGAGTTTGGAGTTGGAAAAAGGGTGGCGATTTCTCTTTCCCTTTTAAGAACTAATCATCTAACTTGTAAATATGTATTGCTGAAATAAAAATTAAGTTAAAATTAAATTTAAAAATTTAAATTAATTCTTCGGGTTTTGTTGGTTTGTTGGTTTGTTTGGTTTTTTTTTCAACGTTTATTTATTTTTGGGACAGAGAGAGACAGAGCATGAACGGGGGAGGGGCAGAGAGAGAGGGAGACACAGAATCGGAAACAGGCTCCAGGCTCTGAGCCATCAGCCCAGAGCCCGACGCGGGGCTCGAACTCACGGACCGCGAGATCGTGACCTGGCTGAAGTCGGACGCTTAACCGACTGCGCCATCCAGGCGCCCCTGTTGGTTTGTTTTTTTTTAAAAAAAAAGACAGGGGCACCTGGGTAATTCAGTCGAGCGATGACTTCGGCTCAGGTCATGATCTCAAGATTCATGGGTTCGAGCCCCACATCTGGCTCTGTGCTGACAGCATGGAGCCTCCTTGGAATTCTCTCTCTTCCCCTCTGTCTTTGCCCCTTCCCTGCTTGAGCTCTCTCTCTCTCAAAAATAAACATTAAAAAAATTGAAAAATGTATATTAAAAAAGAAACAAGACAGAAAAGAAAGGCCACCAGAAATGGGCACTGAATGAACACTGACAGATGAAAGGAAAGCAGGCGGGGTGCCTGGATGGTTCAGTTGGTTAAGTGTCCATCTCTTGATCTTGGCTCAGGTCATGATCTCACATTTGGTGAGTTTGAGTCCCATGTCTGGCTCTGCACTGTCAGCAAGGAGCCTGCTTGGGATTCTGTCTGTCTGTCTCTCTCTGACCCTACCCTGCTTGCACTCTCTCTTGCTCTCTCTAAATAAATGCATAAATAAACTTTATTAAAAAAAGAAGGAAAGAAAGGAAAGCAGGAAATGGTTAGACTTGGATTTGGGCCCCTGAGGGAGGCCTGCCCAGCCCTGCCACGGGAGGGGAGACCCCTCTTGGGATGAATGGAGTCACTTCCTGGGGTCAGAGGTACATCAGGATATTTTTTAGTCACATGTAACAGAAAACCCAACTCCAAGTGAGTTAAATAGTCACTATCTCATATAACTGTAATATCCAAAGAAAAGTTAAACTTCAGACCTATTCACCTGGGGCTTCTGTGAGCCTTATTCTCCAGTTATCGGCTTGGTCCCATGGCTGAATCCCCTCGTGGGAATAAGCTGATTGCAAACAGCCTGAGGCTACGTTTCCTCACTTATTATTTCCAGGAGAAGAAACAGGGTATCTCCTGCTCAAAGCATTTAATAAAGTTATAGGGCTTCCCTTTGATCAGACCTACTCAGATTACACACTACTCTAGTTTACTAGACCAAAGAAGGGATTGCTCTGATGGAATGAGGATGATCAGAGTCTACACCTGCAGTAGGGTTAAACCCACTGAAACCTCAGCTGGGAGAAAATTGAAATGGAATTTGCAGAGGCCACATATTCTGCATTGCAAGTGAAGTGGAAAAGAACTGCCAGCCAGACAGCCAACCAAGCTCAGCGTGGCCAGCACCTAGGCAGCAGCCCCAGCAGCTGAGGAGGGTGAGGGAATGATGTGCTGGTGGAAGAAGGATGAAAGCTAAAATAGGACTTTATGTTGTAAAGTCACAGGGATTTTCGAAGGGTGATTAGAAATCTCAACAACTCTCCAAGGTTAAGCTAGCCCAGATAAAGCTGTGATAACTGAGAGCACCCAAGGTCCTTGGGATGAACGGTCATGGAGGGGTTGTGAGTTCTTTGTGTCTTTAAATCTCTGGTGGGTGTGCATGTGTGTGCATGAGAGAGAGAGAGAGAGAGAGAGAGAGAGAGAGAGAGAGAGAGAGAGAGAGAGAGAGAGAGAGAGAGAGAGAGAGAGAGAGAGAGAGAGAGAGAGAGAGACAGAGAGAGAGAGACAGAGAGAGAGAGAGAGAGAGACAGAGAGACAGAGAGCATGCTTAATGACTTTTTCTTTTTCCAAGACTTTTCCTTTCTCTAGTCAGGATGAAACATCTCATCTGGTAAAGAATGTTGTCCTCCAGGAAGAAAACAAAATGGAAGTCTTTATTTACCAAAGCTAAAGCCAAGAAGGTCCTGAGGTTTTAGATATAGTTCTTTTTTTGTTTGAGAGATTAGATATCCCCTCAAGCAAGTGCATAAATTGTTCAACTGGGAGAAAGGATTTTTGTTGTGTCAACTTTAGTGGACACCATGCTATTTCAGTAAAGACCTAAGAACAAATGCTATTATATTTCATAACTATTTTAAATGACCAATTCTATGTTTTAAATTTAATTAGGATGACTTACAATTTATTCTGAAGCAGAGATTATGTCAAACTGGCCAAAAACAGGTGGGGGGGGGCTTTCTATAGAGAATTCATTTTTATTACTGGAAAAGAGCTTGAAAATAGTGGCCCTGTCCAGGGAGAATGGGGGTGAGGTGGGGAGGGGGTAATTCAGGGAATATGGTGATACAGATCCTTCCTCTGAAACATTTTGTCTCCAAGTAGATAGAGGCAGCTATTTAGTGCTAATAAAAGCCACAAGGAGAATTA